GCCACATCCCTCACCCCAGAAGTTAACGCATAATTATGCGGCTTGCTCTTACACTTCTCTACAAGGTACCGCATGGTAAACCTTTTTTTCACCTTAACGCGGTTTAGTCACTGATCACCAGGAGTTTTTCGAATTTAGGGTTTTCGTGTTCCTCTGTACCTGTAATCGTATTGCGTTTACTTGTGACTCCACTGCCTTCTTTTTCGTCCTTCAACAGTGGCTTCAGGTAACCATTTGAACCAAAATATCTCTTCAGCCTATTAGCCAGTATTTTCGTTGTTTTCCTGTTAGTCCTTCCCTCGAAAACCTAACAAAATATAGTGCCTCGTTTGGGCGACATTTTGTGCGTTTTTAGTTGCAGGCTCTTCTCCAGCCTTAACTTGGTATGCTGCGGAGTGCTCAATTTAATATTAACAAACACATTTATTATCCTTTATTACGTCTTAGTTTGTAATTTGCATCTGATAAAGCCCTCTTTCTTCATACTTAATTATATTTCCTATGACATTTGTATGGACTACTTATTCAATAAACATTTTTACACTTTTTTAAAACAAAATGCATTGATAAACATGAACCTTTCAGATTATTTATCAGCCTACACCTATTTCCTTGACTAAAAATTATACTTCGTCGTTGGTTTCTAGTTTTTGTTTCTAAATTGTCTACGTTCAAAAGTGCCATGCCTACGTTGCAGCAGAAATTTCAGCGGATTTTCTCCCAATAAAACCCCAGTAATTGCATATTTATATGATGACAGTTCAGCCGTCAATTTTGACAATGTCCACCGCGTGTTTCAGGAAGCTGAAGGCAAACGTGGTGACTTGTGCGTTGATTCATTTTGAGTGAAAGTAGACTTTAGCAGCATCCACTGTGCTCTCTCTTCCCCCACCCACCTGTGCCTGGTGTCAAGACAGAGTCAAGAAGACTGGAGGTGGGATCGGGCGCAGGTGGCTGGCGCGGTTGAGTCAGCCCCAATGCGTGCCACCACGCTTGGCTCAGATCCCAATTGCGTGGGAGTGCCATTAAGGTCACATTAAGAAGGAGCCATTGCAGCCTGACTCTGAGTCTGTCAGTCAACCAGTGCACACAAAACACACCGGACTGACCGCGTGGTCCGAGTTTCCCGTCAGTTGGTGGCCGTTTACACGTTTAAAAAACCTGAAACAGTAGCTCGAGCTTAAGGAGTTTTGCAGGAATGTCCTTTAAAGGGTACCAGAGCCATTAGATTTGTGTCCATTTAGCGCTTGTAGGTGTCCATTTTATCTTATCGACCGTCGCGC